AGTCTGTAACTTACTTAGCCAAACAGCGTGAATCAAATTCAGGCCTTTTGTGCAGTGATAACACACCACTGATATCAGCTAACAATGTAAACAACTACTTTGTTAACGTAGGTAAAAATCTTGCAGACCAGATAGTGAGTAATTCGCCAAGCACACAGTCGCCTGTGCATTTTACAATTACAAACCAGAAAAAATCCTTTGTGTTGCTTGATACAGATGAAAATGAAGTAGCTAGAATAATCTCTGGACTAAAAGATGACTGTGCGGTCGGCTGTGATAATATAAGTAACAGAATAATAAAACGTTGTAAGAGTATACTAGTGCCCCTTCTAACCTACATATTCCGCTTATGTCTATCCAAAGGAACCTTTCCTACATCCCTAAAAAAAGCTTTAGTAATACCTATCTTTAAATCAGGAAACAAAAAGCTTGTAAGCAACTACAGACCAATATCCATTCTGCCCTCGTTATCCAAAATATTAGAAAAAATTATAAACACCCGTTTAGTAAATTATCTGGAGAAAAATGGCCTGATTTCACCCAGGCAATTCGGCTTCAGATCAAAACTGTCTACAGCGGACGCTGTTCATAGCCTAACTAATTTCGTATCTGAAGAACTTGGTAAAGGCAATCACTGCTTAGCAATTTTTATAGACCTAGCCAAAGCATTTGATACTGTTTCTATTCCTCTTCTTTTACATAAATTGGAAGCAATAGGCATAAGGGGTACACAACTAACACTACTAACAAACTATCTAAATGATCGCTCTCAATGTGTTCGAATTGATACGACCACAAGTGAAGACCGAGGGAACCATGGTTTTGGATTACCACAAGGTAGTATTCTCGCCCCGACCCTCTTCCTTATTTATATTAATGATCTCTGTAATTTAAACATACAAAACGGAAAAATAATATCATATGCAGACGACACAGCGCTTATTTTTACCGCAAAAACAATCACAGAACTCTATGAGAACGCTCAGAGGGAATTTAATTCTGTAAATAACTGGCTAAACTACAATTTACTAACACTAAATGTTGACAAAACAAAGTACTTGCTCTTTTCCATGCGTAAAAATCAAACTAACACTACTAACGATGAACTTACAGTGCATAAATGTAATGCCCTCTCGACATACCCCTGTGAATGTCCTAAAATCCTCAAAACTCGTCACATAAAATATCTAGGCATCATTATTGATGACACACTTTCTTTCCGGCCACACATTGAGAGTTTGGTATCCAGAGTACGCAAACTTATGTTTGTATTTAAAATATTGCGAAAAATTGCCGATACTAAATTAATAACTCAAGTGTACATGGCACTATGTCAGTCCATTATCACTTATTGTATTACCTCATGGGGTGGTGTACCTAAAACCTCTATGCTGTCTTTGGAACGAGCACAGAGAGCAATATTAAAAGTAGCACACTCCTATCCTTTCCTTTTCCCCACAGAACAACTATACAAATCCTGTAAGGTACTAACTGTAAGGCAACTATACATAACGCAAGTAATATTGAAGCAACACACGCAGATCCCTTATGATACCAACACTGTAAAGAAGAGACGAAATGATATAGTTTGCAGTTCGCACTCGACCTCAAAATTTATGTACAGTAATAAATTCTATAGTTTTCTAGGACCCTACTTATATAATAGGCTAAATAAGCAACTTTGTATTTACAACTTGAATTGCTATCAATGCAAAAAACGTGTCAGCACATATTTGCAACAACTGACTTATGACCAGACCGAATTTTTGCTGACTGTATGTAAATAAAATTAGAAACAAGTTAATTTATTAAGTGATTAGGTATACATTTCTATATATAGGTAAAATTTGAGTAATCAAATAATTTAATATAAGAATGATTTTATAATTATTGTTAATTAGACCTTAAGTTCTCTATTCTAAGCGGTTTTTATTGCCTGAGGTACAGGTTTCAAACCTAGTTCAGGCACATGGAATAACATAGCAGCATATAGAATTAAGACATACGAAATTTCTGTTTATATTTTTTGAATAAATTATTTTATTTATTATTTATAATACGACGGTACGGTTGGTGCGGTTGCTGGGCAACCGGCTGCCGTACAACGTGTCGCGGGTTCGATACCCGCACGGAACAACACTTTGTGTGATCCACAAATTGTTGTTTCGGGTCTGGGTGTCATTGTGTACCTATGTGAACTTGTAAGTGTGTAAACACACCCACGACATAAGAGAAAATCCTAATGTGGGGCAAAGTTAAAAAAGAAATATTGGTTTTTGACAGTAGGTAACTCTCAATTTCGACCGTTAGAATGTCGAAAACCGATAAATTGGTCGGTAACAAGTAACACAGTATTAACTATTTTTAGATAGGCTCGAAGGTGTCATCTCTAGCAGTAGGAGACCGCGTGGCCATAGAACCGACACAGCCGTGTCGCGCGTGCGAGTACTGCAAGGTGGGGCGCTACAACCTGTGCGTGGCGCCGCGCTACTGCTCCACTACCGGCGCGGCAGGCAACCTCTGCCGGTACTACAAGCATGTCGCCGACTTCTGTCACAAGTTCGTTCTATTTTTTTTTATTCTATAAAATCATAATTATGTTATTATTTCAAATACTTCTTTTGATTTACGTTTAAGCAAAAACGTTCTCCAATTATGGTTAGACTTGTAAGTTGAAGATCTATTTTACTAGCGTGCCAATGACTTCATAACAAAATGTCATGATATTAGAGGTGGCATTTATTTGGTTCGATCTTAACCGAATTTAGAGGCGTATTCGATTTATTCAATTGTGTACAAATATTATTATGTTCAACTTATTCATGTCATTGCCATTCCACTTTGACCACCAGAAATACAAAAGCATGTTTTTTTTCACAAGAATGCCAGACAACCTGAGCATGGAAGAAGGCGCAGCAGTTCAACCACTGGCCATAGCGATGCACGCATGCAACCGCGCGGGGATACGACTGGGACAGAGCGTGCTCATACTCGGCGGCGGACCTATTGGGATACTGTGCGCTATGACTGCGCGGGCCATGGGCGCTAGCACCATACTCATCACTGGTATGCATTCACTTGGAAATTGGATTAACAAACTTATCATTTACCTAGCAGGAAGAACAAAGAGTATACAGTTTTGCCACTACAGAGCACAAATGGAAGCATGTAGCAAAACTACCAATCTAGCTGAAGTTTTAGCGTAAATTAAACACGCGTTACTGCTTTCTTTACTTTTCTACGAAATTCCTAATTCTTTAATTATCTACAGTTACAGTAGTGACATATAGTATTTTTGTATCGTTTTTTATAGGATAAGCCGGTATACGAGCAGATGGATCACCTGATGATAAGCAATCGACGTCGCCCATGGACACCTGGAACACCAGAGGTGTTACAAGTGCGTTACCAGCCTTTTGGGATTAGGGATTTCGGGAATTCAGGGATTGGGGTAGGGGGGTTGGGTAATTAGGCCTCCGGTAACCTCACTCACACGACGAAACACAACGCTTGCTTCACGTCGGTCTTCTGTGACGTGTTTTCGAGTACGTAGGATGGTGAATTTATCAGAAGTAAAATCAATAGCGTGATACAGATTTCCTAAAACAACAATATTTTGTTTGCAGACGTGGTTCAATCCCGCCTGGACAAGGCACGTGAGTTGGGTGCAGACTATACATTACTGGTGAAGCGCGACTACAGTGACGAGGAGGTGGTGGACGGAGTAGTGTCACAGCTGGGCTGCCAGCCTGACGTCACCATCGACGCGTGTGGATACGCCTCCGCGCAGAGAGTCGCTATGATGGTAACGTATTTACTAAGTTTGTATACATCTAATACGCGTGTAATCTCAGGTATAAAAAGCGTCTTTTGCGTATCTCAAAAACTACGTCTTCCTTTTTCAATAGTTTATTTTTTCTCTAATTAAAAAAGCAACCAGAAATCCTAAGCTTTGCTAGGCAATTATTGTGACATGGGTACTTACGAACGTTGAACATTGATCTGATTCATGAAGTATCTGTAGATAACAAAAATCCCATAAAATACTGTGTTGTGTAGTTTCTCAAATTTGATATGTGCATGTTTTTAATTCCGAAATAATAGTAAAATTATTTTTCCTACAAGGTGACGAAGACAGGAGGTGTGATACTAGTAGTAGGCATAGCAGACAACAAGGTAGAGGTTCCATTGTCGCAAGCGTTACTGCGAGAAGTCGACGTTAGAGGCTCATTCAGGATTGTTAACACGTAAGGACACATAACGCGAACATTAACATCACATACAGTCTAAAAGTGGTGAAATTCAAATTGATAAGGTTTGGTTTACCTACTCGCATAATTTTAATCAATGAGGTTACTCGACTGGTTTCAAGTCGCACTAAGGGCCCATAACCACGAGTAATGAACATGACAAAACGTGGCGAGGATGATGTACGCACCCCACCTTGAAACTAGTAACCTTATTGAACCTTCGTCAGTTATTTCTTTTTTAGTTTCCTTTAAAGAATTTACCTAAACACTCTGTTTGTATCCAGATATCCGCCAGCGATCGCAGCGGTGTCGTCAGGTGCCATCGACCTGAAGAAATTCATCACCCACCACTACCCGCTGCAGAGCGCCAAGGAAGCGCTCGAACTCGCCAAATCAGGGGACGCCATGAAAATTATTATACATGTACAACAGTTATCGTGTTTTATTTCATACCACAACGCTGTCAAAATAGTTACAACAATTAGTAGGTACGAAAATCCAGCCCAATTTAATCCAAACATAAAATAATTTGTTGGTTTTAGATTGCCAGTGCAACCCAAAAGCCTGGAGGCCCAAATTAATACATACCTTATGAACAAAAAAATAAACATTCGTACACAGAACCTCTTCCTTTAATGAAATCGGTAATAAATGTAAAGGAGACGTCTTTGTATTTCTTGTGAGAGGCAATTAGGTGTTTGTAAGAAAACTAACAAAAATAAACTTCAACATTATATTTACAGTATACAACGAGAACAGGCACATTGGATTAATTATTAAATTATCTCATTTAATTATAATAGAATCAAAATAGTTTGAAAAATAATATAATAAATTGACAACACATCTAGTCCGAACAATTTATACAAATAGTTACTCGGCAATAAATTACAAATTTCTTCTAAGTATTAGAAAGAGATAGTCTTATCATTTGTATAGCGCCATCTGTTTTACACGCCGTACAATTATTCGCTTTCGGAAAAGCTGCTCTACTTAGCTATCTTTTTCTCAAGCTCGACTGAAATGAGCTAAAGACCATAAAGTTTACATTAGGTAGTTTTAAAGTAAGTTAAATAACATCAACGTATATTGAACTTAATGTCATGGTAACAAGGTAATTATTTACAAATTGACTTTAAAAAACATATTTTATTACTGTCGCATTAACATCGTAAATAAATTATTATTATAATATTGTACAGTGTATCAAGTTTACAAGAGGTTAAGTCGCGATGGGTTGAAGACTCCGGGCCGAGTGTTGAGTTGTACGCTACTGCCGCGCGGGACTGGCATACTGCCTAGACGACCTAGTAAAGAACAAGATAGGTAACATTCTTATTTTTAAAAACAATAATATAACTTAAAGCTAGAATCTTAGATCATGATATAAATTGTTGAAGCGAAATGAAGATTCCGGGTATTAAAGTGTCAAATTGTTCAAGTACTTTACTTTACCGTTTTGTAATTAAGTCGATAATCTATTGATATTGGACAGTTGGGGGGTAATTTGATATACTTTTGGATGATGCTAGAATTGGGTACTTGCCTTAATCAAAAATAAATTATTTCGACTATTTAATACAACAAAATATGAAAAAATAATCACACTTTCATTAATTGATTTTATATCTAACTTAATTTTAGTATTTTTCTAGTAAAATTTTAAGAAAAATAGATGCTGTTTGACGATAAAATAACGTGTCACAATATACAATCTCGGATAAAATTAGTAAAAAACTGTGTTTTTGACAGTTCGAAAAAACTATTAACTTTGACAAGTTGGCAAATACCCAATTGTCCTGAACATGAGGATATTCATTCAACAGGGAGTTGTTGAACATAGTTAAACCTACAACGCCCAGTTTGTTAAAAAGTTAAAGTTAAAGCAATGTAGTTTACCAGTTGACGTAGAGGCGGCAGTAGTAGTAGATGTAGTAGCCCTCCCCCCTCCCCTGGCTCTCCCCGCGAATGCTCCCCGCGCTGCCTTCTTCTTTGCTGCTGATGTCGGCTTGCGCTTAAACCTTTAGATAAATAGAAAAATTTATAATTAAAATTAACCTAGACTGATTCATTTATCGATCAATCTTGTCTGGCGAACTAAGGTCATATTGAACAAATTATTTGATATTTAGAATGACTTCAAAATTTAGTTAAATCACATATTCCAACTATAAAAGAAAATTAGAGTCAATAGTACCTTTTCCTCACTCCCCCCCGATAAGTCCGTCCCCCACGTCTCCGTCCCCCGCCCCCCCTTGATGTATCCAATGACGATGCATCTTTGGCCACTCTGCTCCAATCCGTGTCAGAGTCCGAACCTTCTTCCTCTTCAGCCTCTTTCTTGTCATTTTGTTCCAGTTCGTCTTGGTACTCCATGAGGATTCCTGGTATTATGACATAATCGGGTATATGTAAAGGAGATGATGCTAATGTTATCCAAAATCTGATAATTATCATCGGACGTTTGTGACAACAAACCTGTATTACACAACTATTAATAGATCGGACGTATGTGTCGCAAGATCGGAAAACATTGTTATCTCCAGTTTTGATATTTTGTGACACCAGCAGCTGTAGCCAAATGCCATTTAACGCTTGTCTACTATGTATAATAGAAAACCAAATTATATGGAATTGACGTAAATTTTGACACTTGTCAGTGTCATGCCCATACATTTTGATTTCTACTCTCTCTGTAGACAAGCGCTCAAGCGGCGTTTGGCTAAAGGCCCTGGGCCTATAGCTAATGGCATTTGGCTACAGCTGCAGGCTTGACATGTGTGACATCAGTTTCAAAATAATTGTTTTATAAACTACGATTATATAAACTGACTTCAACCATTTGAACTTCGAACTAAGTTTTGAAGTTGGTAAATTTTTAATATACTAAGACTTTTTCCTAAGTGTTCTAAACCCTTTTCTGAATACCGCAACAAAAGCGGAACAGCCAGTCGCGAGATAATCACGCACAAACAAACATACGTACATACAGGTCAATCTGAGAACCTCCGTTTTTTAAAGTCGGTTAATAATTACCTATCACAACATTAACATATTCAACAACGTTCAAATACTCACCCATTTTCTCGATGGCATAAGCGCTGGTGATCTGCAGCAGTTGGTCTCCGTACTTGTGGTAGTTGGCTCTCGTGACGTAAGGTAAGGCCAACATGTCCTCCGCCTTCTCCGGCAGACGAGACGCCATCGCCTTCAGTGCCGCTTGGGGCAATACTGCCGCTAAAGATGCGCCGCGAGCGTTGCCCATTTCACTGGAAAAAGGTTTGTTTTATACTGATGGGTTTATAATACTGAATGAGATGAACATATCGTTACTCGATTTTATTCTAATAGAGAGTAAAATTGAGTATATTGAATTAGATCACAATAAATTAAGGTACAACAATAAGTAAGTTTTAGTTTTATTGAAATATGTAAATTAATTGTCTGTCTCGTTGGTTGAGTGGTCGCAAGTGCGACTGTCGGGCAAGGGGTCTCGGGTTCGATTTCTGAGTTAGGTAAAGTATTACTGGGTTTTTTAAAAAATCTCAGTGTTTAGCACGGAATCTGGAATCGTGCCCGGTATATGGTAATAGGATCACCCCCTATTACCCCTATCACCACAAATAATGAAAAGTGGGTGTTACATTGTACAGTGGCATGATGTTATGTTATGTAAATTAATTATCTTCTTCTTCACAAATGCTGGCACTATAGTAAAAATGTCATTAAAATATCAAATAAAAATATCTTACTTACCGACAAGCTTCGACCAGGTCTGCATAGCAGCGCTCCTCCAACCGCTGCAGCAGCGCGGCGGCGGGCGACGCGGCGGCCGGCGCGGGGACCACGGCCAGCGCGCCGCGCGCCCCCCCCACGCGCATCGGGAACACCACGCGGAGCCCGCCCACCATCAGTCTGGCGGGGACGGACACAGGCAAACCATTTGTTTCGATTAAACCATTATTTGGTACTTTCCAAACGTCAACACATACTAAATAAATAGTACTCTGTCAGTCAGTCCGTCAGTAAAACCAGGTGAAGCTAGGTGCTCATTCCAAAATGTAGATTCGAATGGAAAAGAACGAGCAAAAAACTCCATTCGTTACTCTTTTTATACCAGTTTTCACCAACCTCCTACAATTTTAAGAAACCCCTACCTTAGGTGTTAGGGGTTTCTTAAAATTTTGATAGATGACATTTAACAATACTTTTTTTATTATATGTAAGGGTTTAGTTTAGATGACATTTAGACATCACGCTAAGTGAAAGTAAAGAAATACCAGGACTAAAGAAACGTAAAGAAGTAGTCACGCAGTACATACTTGTCTACATTAGGTCCGAGCACGACGTACGCGCTGGCGATGTCGTTGTTGACGACGAGGCGCTCCGCCAGTAGACCGCGGACTACCATCTGACGGAGGAGACGCATTGGATCTCCACGGTGCCAGGATTTGCATCTGCAATGTAATACAACTCTTACAGATAATATATGGAAAATGATTACATGATTTTAAATACTCTATGAGCTTAGTAGATGGCGCTGGTGAGTTTTTAAGTCCTGTACGATTTCGTTCGATTTTCGTTTCGTATCATTTCTTACACAATCAATCCATCTTTACTATGTGCCACCAAAAATACCGTTTTAAAATAAGTTCTTCAGGTTCTGTTGTCTGAACATCATTAAAAAGAACCAAGTGCTTTAAATTCTAGGTCATGTTACAGTTACAAAATTATAAACTAAAAACTCAAACTCAAAAGCATTTATTTCAATTAAACCATAATTTGGTACTTTTGAAACGTCAACAAATATATAATAGTCTGTCAGTCTGTCCGTTAGTGAAGCTAGGCGCTCGTTCCAAAATGTCGATTCAAGTGAAGAAGAACGAGCAAGAAACTCCATTCGTTACTCTTTTAAAAAAAGTATACAAACAATAGTACAAGTTTAAGCGTGGGGGAGCCATGCTTCAGCACGAATGGGCCGGCTCGACCAGAGTGATACCACGGCCGAGCAGAAAACCGACGTGAAACAACGCTTGCGTTGTGTTCGTCGTGTGAGTGAGGTTACCGGATGCCCAATTATCCCCCCTCCCCAATCTTCTCAATACTCGAATCCTCCACAATCCTCAAATTCCCAGTTCCCAAAAGACCGTTAACGCACTTGTAACGCCTTGGTGTTCCAAGTGTCCGTGGGCGACGCCGATTGCTCATCATCAGGTGATCCGTCTGCTCGTATACCGTCTTATGTCATAAAAAAAACACAAATCAAATATTAATATACTAACTTCCCATGCATGGGCGAGTCATGCAGCGCCTGCAACCGTTGTTGCTTGGAGCCGCGCAGTGTATCCGCAACGTGTAACAACGTGAAGCTGCAACGAGTTGCGCTGCTCTCGCGCAGACAACGGACTATCAGCTTGCATTCTTCTGTTACGTCCACCGGCTAGAAAAGACAATAATGAATCATGAGAGTGATAGAAGATTAAAAAAAATAAACCAGAAAACAACTATAGACGGTTTCTGTTGGCGCATCGCGTAAGAAACAGAAAAAAGATAAAAGAGGGGGAGGGGGGAAGATAGTGATGTGATGTGAAAGATTAATTATTGTTATCAAAGATAACAAGCACAAAATTACATATGTGTAGCTGGCAATGTGGCGACACATGTCACAAGTCAACGGATGACGTCATAAAAATCCTACATCGCACATGCGAAGTTTACATTCGATTTAACATGGATAGAAAATCCCAACGAGCAACTGTTGGGCAGAAAGCCCGCCAGGCACGATCACCTCGCCTGGTCGGAGGATCCTCCTTTTCCGATATTAGGGAACTATACTCTCTGTTCCCTAAAGTGGTGACCCCGACGTGATTTGAACACGCAACCTTCACTTCACGGAGCAGATCCGCACCGTCATCCTTATCACCACCCCTCTTATCCATCACTTCACCGCTGAGCGGTAATCAAGTCGCAGCCAACCAGCATCCTCGGCCTCATCAGGGACCACCATTGCTTGCAACGAAGTTGTGCAGCCTGGTTCTTCCCTACGGCCTCACCAGCGTCTAGGCACAGCACTTCTGCACACGGTTCTGAAGGACATCTCCTCCCGTCAACGCAGACGCCAGCCACTACGCACCTACCCTCGCAGCATCTATTCCCCGACTCACCGTGGGACACTGCGAACTCATCTCTCCGACTCACTGGAGTATCGCCCTGCACCGCTCACCCGACTCACTGGGCACTCAGCGGCACAGTTCCGACTCACTGGAACTAGGGACTTTCTACACTGGCTCTGGCACCGCACATCTCAAGCATCGACAGCCGTCTCAGCGGGATCGACCTTCGGTCTTGGGAGGGAGTGATGTGGCGACACATGGTACATTCTAACGGATGACGTCATAAAAATCCTACATCGCACATGCGAAGTTTACATTGGATTTAACACGGATAGAAAATCCCAACGAACAACTGTTGGGCAGAAAGCCCGCCAGGCACGATCACCTCGCCTGGTCGGAGGATCCTCCTTTTCCGATCTTAGGGAACTATACTCTCTGTTCCCTAAAG